TGCATAGCAAATAACTGCAAAGACTATCAAGAGGATCTAGGATATGGATCAAGGCAAAGTCAGGGGGTCTTGGGCAATAAGGAGGGAGGTAGTAAAAAGATCGGGAAAAACATTCTGATATTAACTCAGCTAACACTTACACACACACACACACATACACACCCCCTCAGGATTGGGAATTAGCAAAAAATAAATCTGGAGGGAGAAATGTTTGGCTAAACAGTTCAAGTTTAGAATTATCCTCCTTCAACACTAATTTAAATGCTGGACATTGACACTACTTGGATTTTCCCCTCAAGAGCAAAAATAGTTGAGTAAATTATTGCACATTCATTTGCTAAAATATTGTGTAGCTACTAAAAATCATAAACCCTTTGTGACATTATGGAAAAATACATAGTCATAATGAGATTTTTTTCATAGCAGCCCAGAAATTGTATATAGGATATAGATAATCTATATAGAATATATTAGAAAGTCAAGTGGATAAGGGAGAAAAACTTAAAAAGGTAGAAAACCTCAATGATAAGAGTGACTGATCCTCTGGTATAAATTTTTTTCTTTCTTAAATTTTTCTGAGGGATCTCTGGGAGCCTAGCTGCCAACCCAAGACAGGGGCTTCAAATCTACCAGCTGCTGTGTGGGAGAAAGATGGGGAATCTCCTCCCGTGTGATTTATAACCTATGCCCATCAACAAATGAATGGATAGAAAAAGTATGGTATATTCACACAATGGAATACTATGTGGCACTGAAAAAAGAAACTCATAAAATATACAACTTGGGGGACCCTAGAGGACATCATGCTAAGTGAAATATCTCAGTCACAAAAGGACAAATACTACATAATGTCACTGTTGTAAAATAGGACTGACATGTTTGTTGGGTGGAAACTAAGAAAAGGGGATAAATAATGAATACTGCATTGGAACAGATGAGGGAAAGAACTGTTTAAAAGGAATACATGATTAGGCATTACTTGTATGGCAACAATCCAGAATAAGAAGTGCATAGCAAAGTGGACTGGAGGGGAGAGCGAGGAAATTATGCAACAATGAATTAATATATATTTTTTTTAAAGTGAACTGGGGTGGGGAGGGTAGGGAGGAAAATGTACAACCATGAATGAATGAAAATCCAACTTTTCTTTAAGCTTTCATTTAAATCACAATTTTTTTTAAAAAAGGAAATCTACAGGAAGGACAGGTATGAATTTTGACTGGATAGCAATGAGTGACAGAGAAATCTTCCAAAATGGATCAGTTTTGTTGCAACAATAAATTTATTTTTCTTTGAAAAAGAGCCACTTGGCTATACAATGGTACAACCACCCTAGAAGGCAATTTGGCACTTCCTCAAAAAGCTGAACAGAAAAATTTCCTATGACCCAGCTATTCCATTGCTTGGAATATACCCCAAGAAATGAGAACTGAGGCTCAAATGGAAACTTGTACACCAATGTTCATAGCAGCATTATTCACCACTGCAAGAACATAGAAACAGCCCAGATGTCCAACCACAAATCAATGAATTTTGATTGTTGTGGTACATTCATACAGTGAAATAATACAAAGCATGCAAGAGCCATGATTTTGTAAATTACTACCTAATTTTGGAGGGACTGGAGAGCATTATGCTGAGTGAACTAACTCGGTCCCACATGGACAAATACTGTGTAAACCATATTATTATAGAATGAGTTGAGGATCCAAGGAGGTAGGGGGGGTGGAAATAGAGGGGTGAGGATGGAGGGACAGGGTATTAATCATAGGATTGTACTTCAGTGAGTGGGTGGGGTGAAGGAACCGGGAAGGATCTTTTGTGAAAAAGAATGTATTCAAATTTTGTAAATAAATCAGAATAAATAAATTTGTAAATAAATTAATGGAAGGACCCTAACTCTCTCTTCACTTCAGTCTAACCCAAGGCAGTATGTTAATATTTCTCAGCAGAGGGGTGGTCTCCATGGTATATCAAAATCATCTAGTGAATTCTTGTAATTATGAGGATCACCTCCATTACTTTTCTAAATCCTTCCTTCAAATTACCTTAAGATGCCTGAAGGTATTCTCTTTTGTACAAATTACTGCCACAAAATTGATGGGAATGGTACAAAGGCACCTGTAGACTCTAAAAAGAAAGACTGCTTCTGAGTCATTAATGTCTTACAGATAATCTGAAAGTTCTCCTAGTGGCAATAGTGCTCACACTGTCTCCAAAGAATACTCCCTTACACGAATGTCTGCTGTTTGAGACACTGGCAGAAACACTTAAGTGACAATATAAGTAGTAAGATGGAATTAAAAAACAAATCAGATTACTTAAAAAACCAAACCCAAAAAAACAACTCCCAAAACCAAAACTCCAAACTTACCCCAAAATAAAACTACACACACACACACACACACACACACACACCAAACCAAACTCAGGATCTTTTAAATCATAACACACAAAGCTCTTCCTCTGATCCTATTTAAGTTAAAATTATCTCAATTTCAAATTTGTGAATGCCATTTTCTGCTTAAGTTCCATTTTGCCCTATGACACGCTAACTGGGAAGTGTTCCCAGGGAATAAGTCAGACACATGTGGATGTCATATCTAATGTAATTTCTTATTTTAAGGGTCATAGTACTGTTTTTGTTCAGACATTCCTCTGGGTTGGATAGCCCTGGTGTACAAGTTGCCGTACAGCGGTCACTTGTGGTTGCTGTGAGGCTGAACACTGTGATACTGATGTGTCAAATGCGTTAATGGTTGGTTATCCAATGTGGACAGAGACTGGGGTGGAGTTCCCCAATTAAAACAAGCTTGGAAGGAGGAGTGGCAACCACTTCTGTAATAGCTTGCCTCCGGAAACCCTCCGAACCTGAAGAGAGGATGAAAGACACCCAAGAGTTGAGGACTCTCCTTCATAGGGTCGCTATGAGTAGCCTGTGACTCGACGGCACTTAACAACAATAACATCAACATAGAGAGAGATCAGCTGGCCCAGGGGACAGAAAGCAATGCTATCAAGCCAAAGGTGGGTGACTTTTAATCAGTGGCCCTCAGGCCTGTCTTTTATTGATTTTGTTCAGCCATTCCTCTAGGTCATATAGCCCTGGTGTACAAGTTGCTGTACCGCGGTCACTTGTGGTTGCTGTGAGGCTGAACACTGTGACACTGATGTGTCAAATGCATTAATGGTTGGTTACCCAAAGTGGACAGAGATTGGGGTGGAGTTCCCTGATTAAAACAAGCTTGGAAGGAGGAGTGGCATCCACTTCTGTAATAGCTTGCCTCCGGAAACCCTATGAACCTGGAGAGAGGATGAAAGAAACCCAAGCATGGAGGACTCTCCTTCATAGGGTTGCTATGAGTCACCTGCGACTCGACGGCACTTAACAACAACAGTACCTCCAATTACCACCTGCTTTTGCTGCTCTCAGTGTCTCTAATGTTGTGTTTTTAAATTGTCTTTAAATCATTTTAATTATTTATAATTGATAGTCTACTTCAGTATGATACTTCACCATTTCCAGAACTGAAAATCATTTTCATTTTAAAGGTCAAAATTTCCAAGCTTGTCTTGATTTATTTTGTTCCTCTAGGAAACATAGCTGGTTAGATTGAGGTTTCATTTAGAACCCAAATGCCTGCTGCTTTTTAAATATGTAACTTTCTAGAAAAGAATTTCATCAGGGATCTCTCCAGAGTACTGAAGAGCAATGATGTCAATCTGGAGACTTAGTCTTTATCCAGGCCATAGTCTTTGCAATTGCTTGCTATGCATCAAAGAGCTGGACAATGACTAAGGATGATAGGAAGAGAATTGATACCTTTGAGCTATGGTGCTGGAGAAGAGTATTGACTATACCATGGACTGCCAGGAGAACAGATTCACCCTAGAGAAGGTGGAACCAGACTGCTCCTTGGAAGCAAGGATTCTGAGGTTTGGTCTGACATACTTTGGACATGTTGCAAGGAGGGACAAGTCCTTAAAGAGGGACATCATTCTTGGAAGGGTGGAGAAACTTATAATGAGAGGAAGACCATCAATGAGATGGATTGATTCAGTGTCTGGGGTAATGAGGGTAGATGTGTCAGAGACAGTAAAGTTGGCACAGGTTAGAACAGGTTTCAGGGCTATTGCACATAGGGTTGCTATGAGTCACAAGCAACTCAACAGCATATAACAACAACAAAAGCATAATAGAACTTATTTCACAGGGCTATGTTGTTGTTGTGATGTGCCACTGAGTCAACTATGACTCATGGCAATCCTATGAACAGCTCCGAACCTTGCCCTGCCTGAGCCATCCTCACCACCTCGGACACACCTGACCCCATTACCACAGTCACTGTATCATTCTATCTCCTCCAGGGTCTTCTTCTGTGCTAACCCTCCATCATTCAGAGCAAGATGTTCTTCTCCATGAACTGTTCCCTCCAGTCCTTTTACATGCCCAAAGTATGAGACAGAGTTTCAAAACCCTTGCCTCCATGGAACAACCTGGTTTCACTCTTCCCAGGGCAGATCTGTTTGTTCTTTTGGAAGCCAATGATATTAGGACTGTAAGGAGGAATTAATTAGTTATAGCAGCTTACACTTTGGAAGAATTCAATAAATATTAGCTATTTTACTATTAAGGAGTTGGATGGTGTAATGGGTATGTTGAGCTGCTAACCAAAAATTCCAATCCACCATCAGCTTTGTAGGAAAAACACAGGCAGTCTTCTCTGTTTAAGATTCGTGGACTCATTAATCAGAGGAGGGCCGTCATGAGTGAGAAACAACATGAAGGTAGTAGGTTTGCTTTGATTTCTTTTATTATCATCAGACCTACCACAGCCAGTAATCTATAGAACACTTTTTCTCCCTGAATCCCAGGCCCTTTACAAGTCATTCTGCTGTTTCTGGAGAACTCCAACTTCTGCATCTAACTCAAGATCAAGATCCTTGACTCCTTGCAAACTACAACTCTGCTGGCATGGGTAGGCAGAGATCAAACTCACCTTTCTGGATGGTTTACAGACAATTGGAAGTAGTTCTTTGCCATCTCAAGCCTTTCTTGGTACTGAGCAGAGCCTTCAATCAGTCCCTTAAATAAACAAAAAACACTTGAAAGTCTCTCAGAACAATGCACCATTACATCTACCTTCTCACCAGCAACTTTCAGGGTGGCAGGGCATGACACGGAGTGTGCTGCTCAGGAATCAGGAAGGGCAAGTCTTAGCTCTTTTTTGGTCTTTAATGTACCTGTTTGGGCTTCAGCTTCTTCAAATGAGTGGTCAGAAGTAATGAGGTTTTTTTTTTAATTTTATTATTCTTTTTTGTGCATGTACCATCAAATCAGATCTGACTGGTACAGGAGGAAATTGTCCCTCCTTCTCTGGCAGAGCATCTGGTGGATTTGAACCGTGTACCTCTGGGATTGCAATACAGCTTCTTGCCACTAGGCCACCAGAGCTCCCCTGAGTTGTTTTTTTAAAATCTTATTTTCTTATTCTATCCAATTTAGAAGGTTTAGTGTTATTGTTGTTATGTGCTGTCCAGTCGACTGAGTCATAAAAAACAACTATGCCCTAACCTCACGATCTCTGCCATGTTGAAATCCACTGTTGCAATAATCACTGTGTCTATACAGCTCGTTGAGGGTCTTCCTCTCTTCCTCTGATCCTACCTTTCCCAGAATAACATCCTTTTCCAAGGACTGACCTCTCCTGACAATACACCCAAAATAAAAGAAGTGTCATCACCCTTGTCTCAAAGGAGCACTCTGGCTGCACTTCCTCTAAGACAGATTTGTTGATTCTTTTGGCAGTCTACGAAATATTCAATATCCTTCTCCAACACCATCATTCAAATGCACTGATTATTTTTCAGTCTTCCTTACTCATCGCTCAACTTTTAAGATGTATAAGAAGCTGAAAAAGTGGTGATTGGAAGGTTTACTACTATTTTGTAAAGTAACTTAATTATTTACCATTAAAATGTTATTAGGCATTATCATGCTGTTTCCAATTCATAGACACTTATATATATATTCAGTTACATATAAACAGAAAGACTGCCTCTTGTGCACCATCTTCTCAATTATAGCTGTTTGAGCCCAATATTGTACCCACTGTGCCAACTCATCTAATTGACAATTTACAATGTTTCAAGAAATATTGAGAAATATCTGTCACTGTTGACGATAGCCCTCTTCCATAGGTGACCTTCTAGGCTGTAAATGAATGGGAAGAGACGGCCCATCCTTCTCCCTTGGAGCAGCTGATGGGTTGGAACCACCAGAGGCTGGATCTTTGACTCAGCAGAGCAACCTCCATGGACTATGCCACCAGAGTTCCAAGCAGTGTATTAGCAGTATTATTTCACACATACTCAACAACACTGAATCACAACAGTATTAATTTCACACATACTCAATAACTGAATCACGACAGTATTAATTTTACACATACTCAATAACTGAATTACAACAATATTAATTGCACACATACTCAACAACATACTGAATGTCACTGATATCCTTTTTACATTGGTAAAGTTTTCATAATTGTCTTCAAATGTATCTTTACAAATAATGAAGATAAATATTTTAAGTCCACTGTTTCTCACAGTGTTTTTATCCATGCTTTTATTACTTTTATGTATTTGGTGACTTCACGTTTGTCTTACCAATTTATACACACTCCTCACTTGATATTAATTAAGTTTATCATTTAATACAATTATTAAAATACTGAAAACAATTCACAGGCACTTCCTAATTACAACTTCAAAGACCCTACATTGAAGACCCTTAAATTATCTTCTGGGTTATTTATTACTATATCTGTTGTTGTGTACTGTCAAATCAGAATTGACACATAGCTGGTCCTCCAGTGACTTTCAGAGGCAGTAAATCATATGGGAGGATAGGCTGGCCATCTTTCTCCCAAGAAGCAACTGGTGGATTTAAACAGTGTACCTTTGGGTTCGCAGGAGGATTCCCTACCACTAAGCCACCAGAGGATTTTAAACCTTTGGAGTGATCTTCCCTAAAATGGTCATTTAAAAAAACCATACAATTCTTACCTTAAAGTAATCGTTCTTTTTCAGACTGTCAAGGAAGCCAGCCCATAGTGGTGAAGTAGTAACACGAGATTTCTTGGAGTCAGAAAAGTGGGGGCTACTTCTGGAGCACAAAATCTCAAATCCATGGGCCTAAATGAAATAGTTAAAATTTTTATTAAAATAAAGAATCTTTTCTCTTTCCAGAGAGATATTTTTTCCTGCTGATTATAAAACAGAGAATTTAAACTTACTTCTTGTTTGCTTAAGAGAAAGTCTGATGACTAGTAGAAACTATACATGATATTGAGCACAATAATATCAAATGCTCAAAGGAAAGAACAACATCAAATGCTCATGAACTGAAATAATACCATCAAATGCTCAATGAATGGCAATTACTTCAGAGTCCTTTGATTGAAAGAATACACTTGAAGAAATTATAATAGATGGGTATGAAAAAAGAATTCAAACAGGGAGTTTCCTGGTCACTTCAAAGCAAACAGCTGCTACTAATGTCTAATATAGCCTTTCAGAAGTAATCTATGCACACAAGGAGCTCCTTTTGCCATTAAATGGTAGCATATACTCTTCTGTACTTTGCTTTTTTTACCACGTGCCTTCTAGAATATTTCTTACAAGCACATCAAACTTATCCACCTCATTTAAGAGACTGACATTAATTTATTTAACACTCTTCCTAGCAGACATGTAGGTATTTTCCTTTTTTGGTTACTGAAAACAATACTGTCAAATGGATCCGCATCTATTTATCTAGCTAGCTAGCTTAAGCATATGCAAAATATATAGTAGATAAATTTCTAGAAGTGAATGTGAAAGTATTTGTGCATATTTTTTTTATTTGTGTATTTTATGTTGACATTGCCAAATTGTTTTTTTAAGAGTTTGGACCAATATACAGTAAGAGAATATATTTTTTTCTCCATACTTGCTATACTAAACCAGTTTATAATCAAACTTTTTCATATTTACCAATCTAATAATAAAAAACCCTTTTAGTCTTTAGTCTTTTAGTTTTTAATCATATTTCTTTTATTAAAAGCAAGGTTCAACATTTTTCATATGTTTAAGTGAAAAGTCATTTGTATTTTCTGTCTTGGACTATCTATTCATGGCTTGTGACCATTTTTCTATTACTCTTACTATTATTGAACATTTTTCTACTAACCTATTTTTTTTTAAATTTTTATTATTTTGTGTGTCTGTGTACCGTCAAATCAGATCTGACTGGTACAGGAGGGGATTGTCCCTCCTTTCCCGGCAGAGCATCTGGTGGATTCGAACCATACGCCTCTGAGATTGCAGTGCAGCTTCTTGCCACTAGGCCACCAGAGCTCCCCTACTAACCTATTTTTTTGCATGCCAAGTAATAGGAACTCTTTGCATAATAGGGAAATGAGCTCTTTGTTATTTACACAGCCAACATAAGACTGCCTCAGATTAATACCTTTCGATTTTACTAAAATGGTCTTTCTTTTCCATGTACTGTGATTGACTTCCTACATTCAGCCTCTGAGAACCGTGGAGCACAATTGTACTGTGACACTCGTGGGATTGTCATGAGCTGGAATCTGATTTGACAGGGACTAGTTTCCTTTTCTATGCAGAAATGCTTAATTTTTACAAAGTAAAATTTACTCTTTTCTTTTTTAGCCACTGGTTTTAATTCATACTTTAAAAAAGTCTTCCGATTCAAATTATTAAAAAATTCTCTTCCATTTTCCTTCAATTTTTTTTATAGCTTTAACTTTTACACTTGACTATTTGAACCAAGGGGAATTTATTTTGGTAAACAGAGAAGGTGTGAGGATGTCAACTCTAATTTTTCAGATAGCTTCTCAGTTGCCCTAGACTCATTTACTCATCTACTTCTGATTTGGAACTTTACATTGTTGCATTCTCATAGAAATAAGGCATAATATTAGACTTTCTACTCTGTGCCATGAGATTGGTAATAACACTTCAACTGAATTTTAAAAGAGAACTTTTTGGTCCAACATTACCAATTTCATGCCCAATTCATGGGCTCGGTACTGGGGATGCGATGGAGGAAGTAGCTGGTATCCGCTCCGTCGGTCAGGCACAAACCTTTGTTGTGCTAACTGTGCATATAGGCATTTAGTGAAAGTCACCTGGGTATATAAGACAAAACACTTCAGTCTTCTCAAATATAAAATCTGAATACCATTTCATAGTTAAACACAGTAATAACTCCATTTATTTATATACAAAGAAGATTCAAATTGTTCACTTTGTACTTTTAAAAACAGTTTTACTGAGATATATTTCAAATACCACACAATTCATACTCTCTACTTATCTACCACTAGTTCCTACCATTTGTTCCATTATATGGTAATTTAGAGAAAAGACAAACAATAATCATTAATTCTCTAGAAGAAATAAAGTATTTTATAAAGAGGAAAAGAATTCCTTAAAATAGGGAAACTATGGTCAAAATTAGCTATGAAATTTGGGGCACAAAATGAGGAGTCAGGTCCCTTAAACAAAAGTCTACTGGAATGGAAAAGCAACAAAGTAAAAAGTGTATTAACTTGCTAGAAGCAAACAGAGTATATCTAATTTTTTCAAGTGAACAATTAAAATAATGTTTCATTTCTCTTTCCAGTGAGCAAAGAAATGACCAAGAGAAATATATTACCAAGGTCATTATTCGTGTATCAGGTAAGAATGTTTTGAAAACACGACAGGCTCGCAGATCAAAAGGGTCTCGCAAGTAAAAGGCCTGGACAGCTGCAGCCACCAATCTGGGGCGCTGCCTCAATACTGCTGCTATGCCCGCCGGAAGGAAGCAGTGGGCGCGATGAAGGGAGGCTTGGATTTTTTCTGGGTACCTGTGACAGACAACATTGCTTTAGTTTTATGTAAAAATAAAAAATGGTTTCATCATTCAGCGCTCCCCTTAACACCTCGCGCCATTTAATTACCCTCTGATGCGCTTATTCACAGCAGCTCGTATAGATTCTGAAGCCACAGTTTTTTCTGGGTGTGTGGAGATGATATCCAGGGCTTGGAGGATTGTTGGGACTGCAGTGGGTAACCAGGATACAGCTGCATGTTTCCTTGGTGCTGGAATAATACACAACTCTCCATGGTGGAAAAATACCTGCAAGATGACACATCTTATTTTCTTTTTTCCCCCCCTTAACTTTTCATTTTTATTTCAGTGAAATAAAAATTGGTTTGGTTTGCCAGTCAACAATTCACACATTTGACGACAGGGATGACAGTTCTCACACTGTAACTTCTTCCCTGTGTTTCCCCTTTCCATCAATCTTTTCCTGTCTCTTTCTGTCATCTGAGCTTTTTTTCTGCACAAATGCCACCTCTTTGGTCTTGTCTGATTCACTGTTGCAAGGATTATGCTCTTTCCTGGTCTTATTGATCATCTTACAGATTTGGCATTTGACTGAAAATTTAAGAGTCATGGAGAAAATGACGTGTTTTCATTTCCATACTTGTCTCTAGGAAAGGCACCTCTGAAAATTTTCTGATCTTGGGCGGGCATACTTACCCTATTAGTACTGTTATCAGGCTCCAACCATTTAGGAAGAAAATCAGCAGCTTCTATTAACAAGAATTCACCATCATTGTCTTCAATCCTAATGCAAACAAAGTTCCAATTTTATACATATTTGCTAGTATTAAAAACAAGTTTATTTCGAAATGCTTTATTCTGAGTGTGTAATATGTTGTACAGTTTGCTATAAGAAAACAAAAGGGTCAACAAACGAATGGATAGAGAAGCTGTGGTATATTCACACAATGGAATACTATGCTGCATTGAAAAACAAGGAACTCATTAAATATTATTCAAAATGGGTGAGCCTGGAGGACACTATGCTGAGTGAAATATCTCAGTCGCAAAAGGACAAATACTGCATGGTGCCACTGCTGTAAAATGGGACTGATATCAGGGTGGGGGTAAGACTG